TTGTACAGAAGAAGCATGTAGAACTTATGAACAATATTGACCAAGTAAAAGATTATGTAGAACTGTTACAAAAAAAGGCCGACCTCAAATTGTCTTCGTCAGAAATGTCTACTTTCCCCAAATTGATTTAATCTCGTTATCGACATTACTTTTAGAGATAAAACACTTTTCTAACTTTTTAAGACTGTAATTCTACTGGGAGATTCGCTTATCAACTTGGAATACGCGGATAACACAGTTCAATTTCGTACATATTTACAATTCATTTCTGTCCCTCCATACATTAAAATTTCCCCTCAATACTGGTCTACGTCAATCAAGAAACTAATGACGTGGAGTGAAGTAGTTCGAGGTATCAACCACTTCACTGATCTTGAAAGTTTCATCAACCCAGATGTTTAGTGTCTGACAATATCTTAACACAGATTCAGAAATCTCAATTGGCTTTAGTCCAAAGCTTTACCTAAAGCTACTAATCAGTCTATTAAAGAGACGACTAACACATCATTGTAACAACTTCCTCTAAACGTCAATGACTTCCTTCTACTATTATTGTTTGACTAGCATAAGATTAGTTGACAGAATAACACATTAATTTCTCTCAATTAAAAGAAAACCATAAAAATGAAGAGAAAAACAATAATTTCACAATAAATCATTCTATGAAATAATAAATATACTGGATAAAGTTGTCCATTTTTAGTGCATAACAATACAACTGATCATTCTATTTATTTATTTATATAAATGGATGAAAAATAACAATGAATAATAGCATCATTGTAAGAATGCATAACTTAAAAAGTTAAATCACTTCTATCTTATTTTAGATTTATAAAATGAAATAAGAACAAGAAAGACATAGTACAAAGACAGAAACAGACACTGATATCTATCGAACTTCAAGAAATATTTTAAAAAAAAAACGTACAGCGTATCAAATGATGAAAAATGGTTTATAAGTTCCCTTTTGTTTTAATATTCCTCTTCGATTTATCTATCACTTTCATATAAAGACAGAGTTTATCTTAAAACAAGATAATATATTGTTTCAGTATTGAAAACATTAAAAACGTAAATTACACAATGGAATTCTGTATACATGGTTCAAAAGGCTAAAAAACAAAATATACAATGATCGACCAATTTATACTTTATTATTAAGTAGAGGAGAAAATTTGGGGCAATTGTAAGAAAATTGATTGGATAAAACATGAACTCTATGGTTGCATTTATAAAAGATAATTGTCATTATCAGTAATATATACATATACAACAGATTATTTGAAAGTTTCCCCATATGAAGTAGTATGATTATATTTGTAAAACAGACAATTATATGACTAGTAAATGTTGTTTTTAAATAACTTGTAATCATCTTAAAGGATAACATTTATACATTCTGATAAGAAAAAAAATATTTTGATCTTTTCTAAATTTCTACTGTTGATAACATCATTGTTTATAAAGTAGATAATTCGTTTTATAAATAAATCAGATTTAACTTTGTAGATCATTTTCATCAAGGATCGATAGCAGGTAGAGTGATATTAGCAATTATGGGGTACTGAACAGCTGTTTCGTTCTAGTATGGAACTCCTGAGCGATGTTCTTCCATGAACCTGACACAAGAAATCGAACTCATAAAATTCGATCTGTTTTATTGAAGAAATCTTGTAGAGATTGCTTTGATTTCGTAGGTTAAATTCGTCACAGATTGATCCCTGGTGAGTTGTGGATGCTCATTGTTGAGGAGCCCTTTACTAGGAGAAAACAGGTGTTCACTACTTCTTAGCTTTCAATTGCTGTCTAAATAAAATCAGTTCCTGATGTAAACTATGAGTTTTAAATAAACTGGTACATATATGAATTATCGCTAAAAAGTTTAATACAATGTATATAGAAATGATTACCGCTAGTGTATAAATTATTGTACATTAGCAGTGATCGCATCGGTAACAATAGTGGATCTCACAAATACATTTGTTTATTTTCTTCGCTTACAACTTAAAAATGAATCGCATTTTGAGTCAATTGTTAGACTAAAAAAGTCGAAATGATGATGAGAAATGAAGCAAAACTTATAATCATAAACCTCATTTAAATAGTATCAGCTTTAAAAAAGTTTATCGAAAACTGAGTTAATCCTCTTATACTGACTATGATTTGAAAAAAGATTGAAATTAAACAACTCCCACTTGAGAAATTCAGTTAGCTCAACGAAACATATACTATATTACATTGAGATTAAAAAAAACGAAGGATTTATTCAACAGTATGGGAATATATAAAAAATAGTCAGTACGTAGTTGCGGGGATTGTTAAGTTTTATTTCAGATCACGATCAATCAATCAATGCTAGACTCGAACCCAGGACCTCCGGTCTCAGTTCATCACTTCAATTAAAACATAACGATCTCAATAACTCTATACTAGTAATCATATGTTCACTAGTAACTGGTTTCAAGAGATATTTTCTGAAGTTCTAGTGAGAAACTGTGACCAGTGGAGTCCAACCACATCAAGTGTGAGGCAGTTACCCACCGAAGACAATAGAAAATGGTCACGTATTATCACAGATTGGTTGAAGTCATACACTAACACTTTTGGATTCCGACTCAGTGGTCTAGAGGTTAAGCGTTCACGCGAGACCAAAGGTTTTGGGTTCGTGTCCTGCGTGCAGTGTCGTGTATGTGCGTTGCTGAGGAGTTCCATACTAGGACAAAACAGGATTCCAGTGCTCTCAGGTTTTCGGAAATGCTCTAACACTGGTCGGTACATGATCTCAATGTTGAAAATATACCAGACATAAGTAAACTGTTTAAACATTAACTTGTTGGTTTGAAAGAATTCAGACCTTGATTTTCAATAACGCACAAGTTTGTCTTTTTCTACGCCTTCCTCTCGTGAATTAGTCCAAAAAGTAACAGGCAGTTGAAAATCACATTGTCTAAGTGGAACATGAGAGCTGCAATATTTTTTCTAAGTAGAAATCGACTAGGCTGTGAAAAATGGAAATGACTCCCATTATTATGAAACTTAGCCTCATATTCAATCTCTCACAGAAATAACACTAAATACATCTATGGTGACATATAAGCAAAGGTTTCTTATAGATAGAACCGTTTTAGAGTCTTATACTAACTAATCAATAAGCCTGAACTCATTCCGGTTGGTAGAGGGCATAAAAATAGCTTAAACCCAATTTAATTAAAAATCTACATCATAATTTCAACCAATAGTGATCATTAGATGTAAAATAGATTGCTCAATAGTTACTTATGATTTAAAAAACATATCCAAGAAAAAAAACGCATGGTCAATAAAACTATTGATAATAAACTGCCAAAGTACTGAGACGTAGCAAAGTTGGGTGAAGTATTTTAAAAAACATTTCTTTATGAATGTTCAATCGATCTGTCAAGACAGTGAAAGAAATGCGACAGTCAAACCGACAATTTCTTAGTGATGTTTTGTAGAAACAAGTTATCTTACTTGAAAAGAAGTTAAAATTTACGAGATATGTAAACGATGAAACAAACCAACAGATGATGATGATGATGCTTTAATGAGGATTTTCATTAAGAGACGCTTTTAGGGATCAATATTCAAGCTAACTCAAATTCTTTATGAATGGTCATTGTATAAAAAGTAAGTTTATTTTATTTATTTATTTATTGATTTATTTATTTAAACATATAAACATTGGTACAAGGAGGCACCAAATACATATGCGCCACATAAATCATTCGATTTGTGTGAGGGCTGGAATACTGCCCAGGTGCCCAAACCGAAGCAAGTGGTTTTCTTAGGAGACCACACCCCGAGCCTTTGACATAAAGGTCTAACCCACAAGGCAGCGGAGTAACGTAAGGAGACGCAGTTCCACCGTAGCCGGTGATCAACAATAGGTTCATACGTCATTTGTTTCCTTAGGATCCTGAAGCCCATGTCCACCACTTGATTGGAATAAGTGTTTTCCAACTCCCCGAGGTGAATCCTCCATATCCACTAGGTAAGCTTCAACAATGATCATTTCACTTTATGAAGCAAATGTAATTTTGTCAAAAGTACACATAATCACGTTTTTATTAAGTCTTTAAAGTCAATAATTAACCAAGAACCTGAATAAGTTAATTTAGTGAGAATCAAACTGTTTCGGGGTAGCAATTAATGCCTACTATGGTCTACCAATTGTCAATTCTTCTTTGGCATGAACATAGCATTTGACTCAAAACGCCTAATCATCTTACTCAGTAGAGAGTGATAAATTTTATACTCTGAGGTACATAGCCGTGTACAGGTTTATACAGAATTGTTACATAAGGTGATGATAACAACTACTAAAGACTGGGCAAAAAAGTTTGTAAACCAACGTTAAATGATGAGTCTGTTTTATGAGCTATACACAGTTTAAGTCATAAATGAAGGACCATCTAAAACACATCATTTTATTGGAGAGCTATGATCTGTAGAAGTGAGGCAGATACTTAGCGATAACATTGACTCTACATATTAAATTGGCCACTGCTTGATAATATGTACCTGCAGGTCATGAGTTTCAATTCCATGTGAGGTCGTAGATGCGCGCTACTAACACACAAGAGACTCCTACTTCCATCCAACCTTGTTTATTTGGAACATAATTACGTTCCTGTTTAACCGTGTTTTGATTTGGGAACTTGTCGAGTGAAGCAGCGTCCAAGAATTCTAAGCAATAAGAGTAGATGGGTTGTAATAAGTGAATTCCTAACAATGGAGACGAAGATGGGATGTTAATGGTGTTAACATTTGCAAATAACATCAACTAACAACATAATCATTATGATAAAATATTCAATAACCAGATCAGAAATCCTGCTATAATGGAGTAAAGTTGAAACAATCAACTGATGCAGTGTTTATCAAAAAAATCAAAATATTTTGAAAGAATATTGTTAAGAAAAAATTCACAATAGAATAGTGACAGAGAGAGGAACAAAAACAAAGAATGAACTAACTTGTAATTGGAGCTTCTAATTCAAGCATAGTTTTTTCTGATTTTAAAATGGCTGAACAATCATTAATAATTCTTAGTATTGCTTCTTCTGTCAGTCGTCCTTCAGAAATTAAATGTGGTCCAATTACATCCAGTTGAGGACGACCCTTAGAATCGAACACCGTACTTGAAGGCATTAATTTGCTCGGAGGAGAAGGTACACCTATCACACACAAAAAAATAATAATTAAACAAAAGAAAGAAACATTAATGAGAGTAAGCAAAGTTGATTATGTAAAAACTAGACGATCCACAAAAAACCATTCACATAACCGTAAATGACTTAAATACAGAAACAATAAATCTCCTGCTAACGACTAAACATCGCTCGTATAACCTGGGACCATCGAGTAAGTAATGCAGTTGTTAGGAAACGGGTACTAGGTAAGGACGGTAAATCCATTGATGACGTAGTGAAACTTTATCAGTTGAGATGGCTGGGACATGTGTTACGTATGCTCAACTACTGACTGCCTCGACGTGCGATGTTCAGTGATAGAGAAGTAGGTTGGAAGAAAGCTAGTGGTGACCAGACCAAAACATGGCACAAGTCTATGAAGTCACTGACAAGTGGACTGAGTCATGTTGGTAGGTGTAGACTACGTGGCTGGGGACCGCGAGATGATATTAACCGATGGTTAAAGACCCTGAATCACATGGCTCAAAATCTTTGCAATGGTGCAGGTGCATCCACTCTTTGTGTTCTCCCAAATTCTAATCTTCTGAATTCTTCATGTCCCTTTCTTTCTTCTCTTTCCAAATTTATTTCACTGGATTATACTCCTTGAATAACATCTTCAAATCCTAATCTTTCCGATTACTGCTTATACTCTTATTACCTCTACCACTACGGGATTTGAATCGACAACTGCATCTCCGTGCTAATGTGGTATGGCAACTCGAACTGATGTACGTACGTACGAAGTTCTACATTGTTACTGACTGACTGACTGGTGACGACTATGTATTATATACATATATATAAATATATTGCGTAAAATGCAATAAACAACAATACAATTCTTTGTCATGGGTCGGAATTAACTATAGGACTAAAGTAAAGCACTGAACATCTATTTCACCATAGTACGAAACTTTTCAGAAATGAGCAAACATGACGTTAACAAAGACCAGAGCCAACAAGTCCATGTTTAGTGTTGATCGCTCAACCATTATATCATCTAGTTGAAATTCAGTAGTCGATGTTTCTGATTTTAATCAATTTGCGATATTGATGACGCTTATAAATAACTCTTCAACTCGAAATCTATTATAAACTCCATTAAACACGACATCATTATAAAACTTTGAAGATCACTTCCAAAAAAAAGTCAACAAAACAATTTAACAAATTATTATTATTAAACTAAGAAGTTTATCAAAACTATTAAATCTAAGATGGATAAGACTTGAAAGTGTTATGTTTCACCGTTACCATATCCTACAAATGTGTATATTAATGAGAAGTAACAAAAAACGTAAGACAAAATGATTGTTCAATTCTTTCTGGTCTTCAACGGTCATTACTATAGTAGACGTTGATTCTTTGAAATTCAATTATTCTTTATAAATCTTTTAATCAATTTCTAAATTACATACACACATACATATGGATAATAACAATTAAACTTAAATTGAGTTAACTGTTTGATATAAAACGTTTTCAGTATTTACTTCTCATAGAATAAGTCTACTTAACAGTACACTACATACATTGATACATAAAGCACTGGATAAGGGGGTACAATTTCTCGTTTTCAACCAAAAACAAAAAACAAAACAACAACCTAATTTCCCAAATGTTAAAATCACCGGCTATTTATCTAGGTTTCTGTAACAAGAGTATTTTTAAAAGCAAAAAAGCAGGAATTCATTCTATAATGAAGACAATTTCTTTGATCTAGCTTAAAGAAAATATATATCGATTAAACGAAAAAAATAGGACAATTCACGTGCAAATACATATAATTCAGATCTAGGCTCTAGTTAGTTGACAATTCACAGTGTATTTTCTATAATATTACATAAATATATATGTCCATAGAGGCACCTACGTTTTCTACGCCCCCACACCCTACAAAAACATATAAATATAACCAATATACCCTATCTCATTTATCACTAAACACCATATTCTTAAGACCTGATGAATTTTTAAAAGGATCACTAACACTTTATTGAAAAAAAAAGAAGTTTCTAAAACGGTACAACCAAAACAATGGCATTATTATTGGGTTCTCTATATTTGTTTTAAGGAGAAAAAAAACAATGGATCAACAAAGATAGGCATGAATACATGCACATATCATTATATCTATCATTATATAAATTTATGTTTAATCATTTTACCCAGGGTTGATTAAGGCAGAAAATAAAACAGAGAGAAGAAAAGAATTGAACAGAAGAAGTAAATATATATTGGTGTTTCATGTAAAATGAAGTCGTTCGCATGCATATACATGCACTCACACACACACACAGAGAGAGAGAGAGAAAGACATTCTAATTGACTTTTTTCCGGAATGAAAACGACGCATTGTAAGAAAAGTCATGTGTATGAGAAACAACAGAGAACAAGGTAAAATAAAAAATAGAAATGAACAAAGTTTTATTACGTAATCTTTTAACATGGAATAAAATACCTGTTCGTATTTCTACTACTACTACACTGACACTATTTTTTTTTCAGAATATAAAGGATAGTTACCATCAAGAGATATATTGAGTGAATACAAAACATAATGAAGTAGTGAGTAGCTCAGGGGCCAAGGCATTCAACTTTCAAACACTATGCATCAGGTTTGAACCCTGCACCACCTACTTTGATTTGAGTAATTAAGTAAAATATTACTCATTAGCTATTATCATGCCTAAATTGTGTCTCAAAGACGATTGCACAAATCTATACTTGATAAATGAGCTAAAAATAAATTAGTAAATAAGAACAACTACAATAGAATGAATATAATGTGATCGACTCAGGCTAATGAGGTATTACACATTAAGAAAAAATAATCCACAGTAAGCTTTATAATGGTATACAGATCATAATATAATTAATAGATACCATTGATTAAAAGGTTTTAAGATGAAATATTTTATTTGGTTTGCAGTACGATACAAATCTAAAAACAGAGGCTCACTACTAATCGCTGATAGTTTACACTGAATCAAGAAAGTGACTAGAGATAAAAATTAGCTAGTCAGTCAGATATACGCAATGTAGAACCCGACACATATTTTCATTAAATCAAGATGTCACACTACATGCTCATAATGAGATGAAATTATCAAGAAAAATCCCAGGTTAGTAGAAGTAGTAATGTTGTTTTAGATGCTACTAGCAAGATTCATTGTAATTAGTATGCAGCGGAGTGTCATTAAGAGGTTGCTGCAGTAAATAGCCAAGGACAAGGTCCTCAGGAAACAAAGAACACGACAAGTTCGGAATACTTTTGAGACCAGAAGAGGGGCTAAAAAAAGAAAGTCTACAACCAGCTTGGATTTCGGAACAAATAAAAGATGGAAATGGAAGATTGAAGACTAAGTAAATGCTTCATAAACAATCTGTGTTCGCATCTAGACTTAGCTTTTTCGTAAATTACAGTGGTAGAAGTAATCGAAAAGATAATTTATAGATAACATGATTTGAGAAGCATGAATTTGTGGGATGAGAAACGTTAAGACAATTTTGAAACTGATGGACAAACAGTGAATGCATTAGAACCCAGTGTGACCAATTCTGAACCATAGTACCCAACGTCTTCAACCACTGGTTACGACAGTAGAACGAACACAAACCAGGTTGTAAGAACACACCAACAGGGTTCAACCCGAATGTTAATGACCTCATGAACAGACACATCTGAGTTCATTTGCCTTTGTTTTTCTTTAAACCCACTCACATACAAGCTAATATAGCACATCGAGATAGGCAGTGGTTGGGCGTAGATAATACATATTCCTATGATATAAAAATAAAGTTTCAACTAACTGACATAACAATAACACACCCATTGCATGATTTAAACGATCTGATTACTATCTCTTGAGACAATGTGTGTGATACATAGAGATCGCGACCATGTGATAAAAATGTCAAAATAATAAACTTGGATAAATGGAAGTAATAAGAATAATTTAGGCAAATGAAAGACAATGATTAAAAATAAAAACGGAAATGAACACAGAAAATAATAGTAGCATATGTAGCAGAGGTAAATTGACAAATAAATCCCTCTCTCCTAATTGGATTACTTTGAAATAAATTACTACTACCACTACTATTGATATTACTTACTTATTCGTGTAAATGATCATTTTAAGCAGAAATAAATTATGAAGTAGGCGCTTTATGGGGAGAACGGAAAGAGAGAGGCAGTGTTGAATACATATTGATTGACTGATTTCAAATGGAACATCATAAAATATGAAAATAATTTAGCTACTGCAATCCATACATTGTAATTTTACTAAAATCTATCGTATAACTAATGATATTGCGTTGTATACTACTTATGCTGGCAGGTATAAGTAGTATGCAGCATCAACAGGAAGTGAAATGCCTGGCAGCAGAAGATTAAAATGAAGAGAATAGGAAGGAAATTGGAGTGCAATCGAAATAACAACAGAATTAGAGGAATAATGAAGTATGTAAAGGACAATACAAAGATGTGCAAATGATGTATTTAATGTATGATTTTCATATTTTACGAAGGTACTCTGTAATTATTCATTTAACATTAAATTAGTCATCCCCACCAAGTCTTCGTTTACTACAGTATATTAATATTTTTATGTCATTAGTCAAAAGGTATTCTATTCTATTAGTGTGTCGTTAAGAGTCAAGACAGAATTAATCAGTCTCTGTTAACACATATATAAAACCATCTTAAATGTATGTTTCAATAGTTTGAAAAGAGTAAAAAAAGCAACGACTGATGCAGAATAATATCAATTCGTTTTATTCTGTACCAATCTTAGTTTTTTTCTCTCCTCACGATAATAAAGGGAACAATGCGTATGAAACCTTAATATTTGTTGAATGATAGCTAATAGTAAAATCCAGAACATATGTTTCACTCTATTCAGGAAATCATTAGATGAATACCTTATGAATCTTACGGAAAGTATCAATTCCTTCAAGATTACAGGTATATTTTA